CTGTGTCCAGGCCTGGGGTCCCCAACACAGGAAGGATATGGAGTTGGAACGGGTCCAGAGGAGGGCCGCAAAGATGATCAGAGGGCTGGAGCACCTCTCCTATGAAGAAAGGTTGAGGGAACTGGGCTTGTTCAGGTTGGAGAAGAGAAGGCTCCAGGGAGACCTCATTGTGGCCTTCCAGTACTTGAAGGGAGCCTATAAACAGGAGGGGGAGCGACTATTTACAGGGGTTGATAGTGACAGGATGAAGGGGAATAGTTTTAAACTAAGAGAGGAGAGATTTAGGTTGGATATTGGGCGGAAATTTTTAACGCAGAGGGTGGTGAGGCACTGGCCCACGTTGCCCAGAGAAGCTGTGGATGCCCCATTCCTGGAGGGGTTCAAGGCCAGGCTGGATGGGCCCTGGGCAGCCTGCTCTAGTGGTTTGCAACCCTGCCCACAGCAGGGGGGTTGAAACTAGATGATCTTTAAGGTCCTTTTCAACCCAGGCCATTCTGTGATTCTATCTTTCCCAGTCCTTATAGCCTCCCCACGACCCAATTTTCAAGCTCAGTCCTTTTTTTCTACCAGCACCAGCAACACCTGTATTGCCACAGTCCCTGATGGACCCAACTGTCTCTTTCAGCACATAAGTACCACTTGCTGTTTCTTGTTCACTGTGTGTCACCAGTCTCTAATTCAGAACTTACATTGTTTTGTAGTTGTTGAACTTGTCATCTCACGGCCCAGTTTCAACCGTCAAGAAGTCATTCACATTAGTCTCTGTTTTCTTCTGCTTATATTCCACCTTATGACTCCACTCCATGCCTGAACAATTCCTATCCTCTCCCTGGCCTCACACCCACACATTTCAAGTAACTGTTGACTGCTGACTTCTCAGTGACTCACTGCTTGGCCAGCCTATTCACTGTATGTTCAACTATTTCATCTCTTAAGGCACCATGAACACATAAAAATATTTTATAAAACTCCACCAGGGCTGCTTTTAAAATAGCAGCCATGAATGATACTTGTTTTGGTTTTCTCCAGAAAGGTTACAGACATCCTGTGTTTACTCAACGGAAGTGTAAGGGCTGAAGGACCATATTCCTGTAGATGTTTGTCTTATGAAGGTTCACAGGCGTCCCCCTCTTCTCCAGCCTCAGCACCTTCCTCATCCTCTTTGCTATTTGTCTGAGCCTTCTGCAGAAGTACGGGCCCTGCCAAGCCAATAACCAGGGCTCCGATTGGAGCAGTTATCAAGATAGCCAGGAAAGCTACTGTCAGCACATCCATTCCATACTTTTCCAGTTGCTCATCTTGATGACTTCTTGCTGTATCCAGGGCAAGAGAACCTATTGCAGCCTGCAGGAAAGAAAACATTGCTGAGATGGAGCAGGTAACTTTTAGCACTGAAAGAGGAAGAAAGGGGACTAATTATCAGTCAACATTTAACGTAAATTTGACATTTTTAGTACATTCAACCCATTCATTTCTAGACAGTACATAGAAAAGTAAATGTTATATTACACCAATGAGAACAATTTTCACTTGGCCACACTTTGATTTTCCTAAACTAATGAGTTTATCTGGGTGGTTCCCTCCTATGAATAATATTGCTTAGCTGCCATCCACTTTTCTGGAGAATGCATGATTGATGAAATGGGACAGTATATTGCATATTGCAGCTGTTAAAATGCCACACCTTGACAATGTGTCCTGACAGCAGTCCGCTAATAGCAGCTTCTGAAAAATTAGTTCACAAATCTTGCAATAATCCTTGCTTGTTCTGATTATTAACTTTTGTTTGCAAGTAATCATGCTATTGAGGTGAAGTCTAAATAACGATCACTGAAATAAAGGCGCAGGAAGCCAGCCAGACTGAAGCTTCTCTAGCAATAGGGTTGTCAGTCTACGCCTTACTAAAATGACCGCAAAATGAAAACCCATTTTGAGCCTCTGATGTTACTGTGCCTGCAAACACTTCATGTGGTGAAAGAGGAAACCACTTTTACCTTTGTTTTTAGAGTTCTCAGAATTTTTATGTAAAGGCACAGTAACCTGCAATATCTGAGAAATAGCTAAGCTTCCTATGATAGATGTACAGTTCATTGTCATTATTAAGAGGAAAACCCAGGATGCAAGCAAAACATCTTCACATAGAAGGCTCTCCATGCATTTTTCAAGCAGACTAAGGGCGGTTTAGAGTATGAACTGTCCATATCCTGCACTCTGCTGTTACTGAACCTGATCCTCTTCCTGTTTACTGCTGTGCTAGTTATGAGGACCTTTGCGAAGGACAATAGATTTAGCCTGGAATTAAAGTGATGTTGGACTCCTTACCTGGACAGTGGCTTTGGGAATCCATGCCAATGAGATAAATACTTTCTCCTTGAAATTAAACCCAGCAAAACACACCATCAGGAACGTTGCTATGATTCGCACAACTAGGGCAATGCCTAATGTAGCAACACAGAGCCCTGCAGCAAAGACAAACATTTCTCAGTACTTTTGTGCATAGGTGCCTGAGGGGAATAAGCCTCCTAAAACTGCAGCTTTGCAGTGGGGCTAGTTTTTGGTTTTAGGTTGGTGGTTTGTTTTTTTTTTTTTTTTTGGGGGGGGGGGAGGTCAACCATAGTCTGCTTTGCTTTAGATTTTTTAAGAGAGATTCTTTGGAAGACAGTAATGAAAGCTGGATAATTTGTGAATGATCTTACCAACAGTTTCAGGCCTAAGAGACCCAACAGATACTTCTGCTCCAATTAAACCAAAAAGAAAAGGTTGAAAGATATTCCATGCAACTGCAACAATTTTTTCTACTTCTTTCTGCAATTAAAACAAAAATCTGTAAATTCACAAAAAATATAGCCAAGCAGGCAAAACATTTAATTAATCAAAGGACAAAGTGAAAATGTATCAAGAAGGTTATTCGGAATTGCTTCTCCTTCTTTGACCTAATTCTAGAAGATTCAAAATCTGTTGTGCACCTTTTGAAGGTCAGAGTCTGTCTAGCTCTGCTAGTAAATAAATGCTTGCTGTGTCAAGATGGGAAATAAAAATCATTGATGTTTGAACAGTAACAGAGCAGTTTGCAGACAAGAGAAGGAAAATAAAGCATAGCTGATTTTGAGTATTTAGGAAGATGTAATTTGAACAGCTTTGCCATGAAGTTTCTAAGCCTTTGGGAACTGCATGCTTAAACATATTCTTCCATTTGTATCTGGTTTAGTGGGTTAGGTGGTCTTGGGTTGACAGTTGGACTTGATGATCCTTGAAGTCTTTTCCAACCTTAATGATTCTGTGATTCTATGAGCAGAGTCAGACTCTCAGAAGTTTCAGTCATGACCTAATTCTGCTCATGCTGCAGACAGAGGCCTGTCTCTATGTGAGCAGGAGCAAAGTTAAACTGAGCAAGTCTGAAATCCCATAGTAAGAAGTGTTGAACTTTCCAGGGTGATGTACTGTATAAGGGCATAGCCATCATTTCTCCTTGTGTTTGAACTTTACACCTAACAATTTTCCTCAAACAACTGCTGCCAGGATAAACAGGAATCTTCCACTTAGGTGAAAAGGTACACGCAGCATATCAAATAGCACTTCTTTTTTAATTAAGTGGGCTCTACAATAGCAAATGGACCTTCAGGCTGGAGTGTGGGGAAAATACAAGTGCAGTGCTCTGTCACTTAATAATCAATCCAGGGCCTAGACATGTCGTGGTGTCCTTGGTGTTCTCTCTGGGACTGATCCTGCAACACCTCTTGCTCTTCAGTCAATGGAACGGTAGATGACTGTAATACAAAAACTTCTGTAACCTTAGAGAGAACAAGGTGGAAATATACAGTCTTCCAAAATTTTTCTTTATTTGCCTCATTTCTCCTTGTTACCTCAGCTTTTTCTTTTCTTTTGCAAAAAAAGTTAATCCTCTTTACGGATGTTAGTGTTATTTCAATCTGTTTACTGCCCATTTAACTGTTCCAGCAATAAGTACAATGTTCCTTGTTCTCTGTTGACATATATTTGTCAAGTGAGTTCCACCAGGGACAGCATGAGGTAGTGGCCATTGAGAAGCTCAGCAGGAAAACCCTGGTGATAACTGAGTATACAGTATGCAGACATCTCTGACTGTATCTGTTAAAAAAGAGCTAAAGCATTTGAAATTAACATTCTTAAGGCCAAGAAGCTTCATTTACTGATCAAAAGAATTTAAACTAAACATTTATAGACTGCATATACTCTTTCAAGGTCCTTCCTTCTGAAATAGTTTAAAAGCTTTTCAATAGAGAGTTTTATCAGTTGTAATGTCTTTAAGTAGTTCAGTCCCAAGATTAATTTTTCTTCTTCTAAAACTGGACAACAATGTAATACTTTAAATAGAAACCATGGGGTTTTTTGTTGTTTTAACAAACCTTGAGATCTTACTGAAGTCGGGGTCTAGATGGGGATAATAATGTGGACTGCTATATCTGATCCCCTTTCCTTTCTCTTCTTCTCCCACTGCATGTCACAAGGCTACAGCTGTGGAGAGAAAGATGCCCTCAAAAGATTAAATGTAGATGGTATCAAGCAAAAGAGGCAGTGAAACATGCCAAGGTACAGAAATGCAGTGGGGCAGCAGCAGTAAGAGGAAGCAGGCTTAGTAGCGAAGAGAAAGTGACTAAAAGGCAGTCTTTTGTATGGTTTTTGTATGGCCTTACATCCAGCATTTATTGTGGGCACCCTACTCTCTAATTTATCCAGAATATACTGGCTGGGATTTGGGAAAAATGAGAGATGATGGTTAATTACTGTTTTCCATTTCACCCCCCAAAACAACAGAGAACAAAACCTCAGGGTATCCAGACCATGTGCACAACTGTATTTTGGACACGTAAGGTTACACACACTCACAGGGCTGGGACATAAAGCTTTGGATTCCTGGTCAAGTGCCTTGACAACTAAATCTCTTTTACATGGCTTAAGATGTCTAAGAAAAGCTTGTGAGCATTTCTCTGTCAGTATGTTAGGCTCTGTATTGATATATATTCACATCCATGGTAACTTTCTGTCCTGCCAAATGTTAAAGACTTCCAGAATAATTGTAGAATTTTTCTAAATCCATACACCCCCTAAAACTTCACAAATGCACCATTACCACTCCTGACAGAAATTCAAACTCCTGTCGGGCTGTACATTCAAAGGAGTTCTGGTGTGGTATGCTTCTTTGGGTAAAAGTTCACCTTTTCAGCTGACCATCCCACACCTGCAACAAAAGCCAAGACTAATGTGCAGAGCCCTCCTGATCCAGGGAAGCCAAAGTAGGTGCTGCCAAACACAGCAAACATGGACAGCCCAAGTACAAAATATGACCTCTTCCATGCCAGAGATGCCTGCAGTGGAAAGAGACAAATGAAAAAGTAAATTTATTTTAGAAGTAGAGGAAGAAGTTTACTTCTGTTAGTTTTGAAAATAACAATTGCCATTAACCATTGTGAAAGAATCAGAGCTTTCAAGTGAGACTTTAACTATTTGGTTGAGGGTTTTTTTGGATATTAATTCCTAAGAAATTAAAATTTTGGAAATTTATTTCTTCTGCTCATCCAAAATCTTATTGTCAAAAGGTTTTTGTATCACAAGGAACATGATGTTCTCTTCTAACAGCACTGCTTCAACTCTGTGATAACAGCATTTTCTATCTGTACAGTCAATAATAGAACAGTTTATCCAAGAAGAGGTGAAATCCTTGCCACTAGATGTTTTTAAGGAAAGGTCAAACAGACGTTTCCCAGGGACAGTCTAGTTTTGTTTGATCTCATAGCAAGCAGTTATATCTCTGCCATTGTTCCCCATTTCTGTTTGTCTCTTTGGCTCCTGTACCACACTTATGTTATTTAATAAGAGAAAAATTTGGTCCCACTGAGGGCAATAGATGGTTTGCAAATTGACTTCAGTAGTCCAGAGCATACCTGCTTTCTTCTACAATTTTCTGTTCACTTAATTGGCCCTTGATAGTAAATTCATCTACCATTTAATGTAAGTTGGATTTTTATTGAAAGTAACACATTCTAATTAGTATTAATGATATGCCCAATCACTTAAAGCCCACAATCTGTCTGCTTTCCTTGTTTTTAGTCTTAGGCCTACTGGAAACATCTTACAGAAGTAAATGTCTCACACATCAGTCTAATTTATTATTATTTTACTGCCTGAGATAAGTATCAGACTATTTCTCCTTTACATGTGGATATTTCCACTGGCTTCAATGAAAGCAGGATGGCAAGCTGCATTCCAAACTCTGCATCAGGAAGAACGGTGAGATCATATATTGTTACTGTTGCAGTAAACAAGTAATCACCTATAAAACACATCCTCACTTGATAGGCTTTGCAGCCTGGAAGCTCTTAGCACTGTACACAGCTTTCCCCAAAAGCAGCTTCACATGAAGCTTGGAAAAGAATAATTTAGGAATATCATCCCTTAGCAAAGAACCTCTATTTTATAAAAAGTTTTTTTTAGTGGGTTTTTACCTGATCATGGCTTGGGAAATATTGAACAAACATTCCCAGAATCCCGCCAGCTGCTATGCCAACAGCAACCTCCAGCACTCCACGGAGCACATTGTACAGAGTAGAACCTATTTGACAAATGAAAAACAGGTTTGGTAAGCTGTACACAGACCCTTCATGCACAGACCACACTGTAGACCTATAGGCCTATTCCAGGACAGTGTCTGCTTTAAATTACTTGGGGTAAAGGGGTTCAGGAGGGAACCTAGGAGCCTGAAAGAAATGGATAGTGCAACTTTCTCTCTCTGAAAGCTCATGCCAAGAAAGTGTGCTAGAAAAGCCAGAGAAAGAGCCACTGTGAGAACATTGCCAAACCCAGGGAAATTTGAAAGCACTTATGTTGGGCATGCGGCAATCAGACTTGGCAGCTAAGGGAGCAGACAGGGAAAAAGTTTCTCTGAAAGTTGTTGTGACCAACAGTTCAGAGCAAACAACGTTACAGCAAGACTTTTGACCATGGGTAATACCCCTCCCAATATTCAAGTCTGTACATGAACTTTATGAGGAGATGTCATTAAGTTACAAACTAGTCAGTCATAACAGAGCACACATTCCTCAAAATATCATTGTTTGTTCTGGATTTCACCATGTACAGATTAACCAGCATACCGGAGGAGAAAGCCATTCCAAGGCAAGTGTTGAAGCCTGTAATAGCCAGAATGTCATCAATGCTGCCAGCTGCCATTAGCAAAGTTGGGACACCTTTCTCCACCCCATATCCTCCAGCTTGTAAAATCAGCATTGAGGGAACCACCACAGCAGGGGAGACTGCGCCTAGAACAAAACTGAAAACACACAGGTTCAGCCTCTCTTAAAAAGAAAGAACAGAACTAAAAAACTTCAAAACGTTCTGACCCCAATTCTTTTAAAGTAGAAATAAACAGGCCTTTACGTAAGGAATTTTCCCTACCTTTCCCTGCTAATTACAAGCAGGGATATTTCTATGTGGATTTGCAATAGCTTTTACTTCCTGCCCATCTCAATAGCATTACAAGTAAAGGGCTCCACAGACTAAAACTTGTGTCTGCACTGCAGGCCCCGTTATGCTCTCTGATACAAGCCTTGATTTGTCCAATTCAGGAACCTGGTCTAGACGTGCTTATGACTCAGTAGCCCAGTTCTTTCTCATAAAAATCAGTGTGTGGCAGAGGAGAAGTTCATTCAGCTTGCTCCAGTATATGGGTCTGGACCAAGTCCACCAGTTTAGACAGATGGAAAATGGTTCCTCTTTGAGGATATTACTCCAGAATATAATATGCCATATCCATATCCTTGACTTGTGACAGGAAGACTCTCCTATATGCAACTGTTTACAGGAAAATTATGAATTCCAGCATGGAGAATTCCAAATTCTGCTATCATTTTCTCTCCCTAAAAACCCCGTCTTGTGGTTAAAGCCTCAGGGATTGCACCATCCTTGTTCCTTCTTCAGGTGCCTAGATCACAAACACAGAAGCGTAACGATGCAAGTACTCCTCCACAGCCTGGAAATGTGACCTTTACATTAGCCACAGAGCCAGGCATGAATGGTAAGCAAACAACCACAGGAGCTAAGCACAGCTTCCTAATGGGCATTAAACTGAGGTTTCTGCTTGGCACAGAGAACTAACTGCGCTTGGACCATTTAGCTGTAGCATGAAAACAGGCACCTTTGTCCTACAGGAGGAAAGAGAGTACGTTACCCCAGTATAAATCCCCATTGCCATGGCAAATGCATGAACAAGTAGGCAAGAACAGCAGCCGTGCATGTTTCTGTGAGGCATGGTCCAAAAGAAAGCCGCAAACAAACTGCTTTGAGTTTCTTAAGAGCCTGCAATACAAAAGCACATTCAGACATTAGTATCAGTACCCTTGGCTTTATAGAGAGGAAATACATTTACAGGCTGATACGTTTATTAAAAGAATCCTCTCTGAGCCACAGTACAGGATACGACAGATTTACATGGCCTCAGACAGAGATAGACTGAAGCAGAACTGGATTTCGATATAAAATTCCACGTATTGCAGTGAAACCTCCTGAGTTTAGGTTTGAGAAGGTTCCTGCATGTCACAGGAAGGAGTGGCAGAAAATTCAGTTTCATTTCTTGTGCAGAGCAAACTAAAGAGGCTGGACTAGCTGGGATTCATTTGAAAAGTGCACCCTCAGCACAGCTCACTTATCCACAGTTACCTGAGGTCATTTGCTCCAGCCACAAAAGATTTTGCTATAATCCCACAAGTTGCACAAGCACCCCCCGAAAATTATCCCCAAATCCATCAACAAATCATAAAAAGTTGTAGAGCTACATGCTGGCATGTACTACATACATGGCGCAAGGAGCCAAGCATCTCAGCAGTCTCTCACTTGATGTCCAGAGCAAATTAAGTTGTATTTGGCACAGCAACTTCTATTCAGGAATTTCTCTAAAACAGAGTATTTGCTTGTAATGGCTGCCTTTAATAGTTAGTCACAAACATGACTCTGCTAGGACAGGTCCCTAGTTTTGACATGGAAAAAAAAATAAATCTATGAGTTGCACTTTTAACCAGCACAGTTCATCCCAGCATAATTAGGGTTGGGATATCAGGGAGGATCAGCAGAGCAACTCACATCTTTGTCTTCACAGCTTCAATTACATGAGAAACAATTGTAACTGCATCAAAGCATTGGTACATAGAGAGTCCAAATGCAAGTTTCAATTGCCACATGGGAGAAAAATATGTCAAATAAGTTCCTTTGGCAAAAAAAAAAAAAAAAATAATGTCACAGAATAAAAAGAAAAGCAGTCTCACAGAACTGGGTATCCAAGCCGTGTGTTACACCACACAGTCCATGCTCATACAAGCTTCAATGTCTTGGAAAAATGGATGACAGTAATCTAGGAGAGCAAGTGTTTTTTCAGGAGTGACAAAACTCTGTTTTCCTAAAGTTCTGAAGCATTGGCAACTCCCTAGTTTTTGTCTTGGTTAAGAAAAATCAGTTTAGTTTTTCTGAACTCGCTATACTTGACCTAAGTTTTATAGAAGCTTTAAGCAGTCCCTTGAACAGGTAGTGGCCAGTATCGTACCACTACTTTACTGTACTTTATTTCAGACAGCTGATTTTGATTAAGCAAAAACTTGCCTTCATTAATTTATGGAACATCATGTTTCATCGTGTGTGGAGGAAGACTATTTTTTTGTTCACAGGAGCATTATGGGCTTTATTATGATGTGAAGCATTGTTTTCCATATTGCAGCAGGACTCTTTTTTTGCAGTTAATGTATTTGCATTAAAATGGCAATGATTCAAAAAAAAAAAGAAAAAGAAAACAAGAAAGTAAAAAAGACACATAAGTTTGGATTTTTTGGTTGGTTTATTTTTTTGATTTGTGTCAACACAAGCAACATTCTCTTTCAAGGCTTGGGGATCCCTTCCATTACTTGTTTTAGTTTGTCACTGTGAGCTGACAGAGAGTTTTTCAGGGAGTGTAAACTCTTCCTGACAGACCGTGATGGAGCACGTATCCTCAAGATGTTCTGCTCACAAAATTCAGAAAATTTCTTTGAGACAAGGGGGAAATTAGTCATAAAATCAGTTTCCTTCTGTTATTTTTCTAATTACTTGCCTGCTCTACAAATCCAACTGCCAATATTAACATAGAAACAATAGAAACTATGCTTTCTGTAATGCTCTAATTTGAGATCCTCCAAGACTGAACAGTTCAATATTTTTAACAGAACAAATTATTCAGGTTTTTTTGAGGGCTGTTGTATACTTTGCCTCACACAAATGGCTGGTGCCATACCTTTGGATCCAGGCCGAGTCCTGCTCGGGTCAAGATAATTGAAAGAGCAATATTCCTCAGTGCTGCAGACCAGCGTAGGTTTATCTGGACAGCATCACTTACGAATGGAATATTTCGGATTAGGAAACCAGCAAGCAGCATCCCTTAGATGAAAGCAAATAAGCTCCTGTCAAATGATTTGCTTTTATTGCACTAAAAGCTTGCATAGAATTCTTAAAAATAGACATCGTATTATGTATTTATGAGAGACAAAGAAATAAGTCATGTTCTGAATTATTAGCCATGTTTTAGCAATGGGGACTGAGGCATGGAAAGAGAGAGACATGTTTAAAGCAATGAAAGTGGCCTAAGAGCACAGCAGGTCACCAATGAATGAATTTGCAAGATGCTGACACACAGCTTCTGTGCGAGTCAACAGAATTTAGCTCTGTTCATGTGCAGGTCATACTATAAGCAAAGACACCTCTGCATCCTTAAGGATATTTTTCTTTTTTTTCATTGGGAAATATAATATAAACCAGCTAATCATGGACTAACCTAGACATTTAAAAATGCTCTGGCAATATGACTCATGCAAAGAGGGGGGGAATCAGGAACTTGCTCTTATCCTCTATTTGAGCTACTTGCAAGATCCAACCTTTTGCAAATATTAGCAAAACTGCCTAATCAGAGACCTCCTGCAAGGCTATCGGAACTGTAGTTCTGGAAGGATACAGAAAAGTACAGGAAAGGGTAACGTTAAATATAGATCTGCAGAGATTCATTGGAGGTCCTGATGTTTCGAAGATACATTTTTTGTGGCATAATTTTAGGTTAAAAACATTAAGAAACAGGAAACCAAAAAAGACAAAAAGTAAACAAACACTGAGCTCAGGCTGGTCCCAACTTGGTGTAAGCCTCGGCTGTGGACTTGGTTTGTCCAGGAACACACTGAACTTTCAGACATTGTTTTTCCTACCACCTCCCAGAAAAAAAAACAGTGGCACGATTATTCTGTGGTACCTCATGATAATTGTATCAGGCTAATGTAATGATCATGTGCTCTTTCCAATGTCTGCCTGAGGTCCAAGTCACTGGATTTAGTCACCCTGATTTAGACATCTACTTAACAAAGCAAAAAACTCCACTTCAAAGGATATCTTCACTGTTCTGCTCTGTGTTGCCTGCTGCAGAAACCTCTCTGCAACGTATACCTAAACTATACTATGTGAATGTTTCAGTAGCACTTTCACCCCTTTTTTCCTCAGGCAGAGACTCACTATAAGGTGCGTAAGTGCTCGTTTAGCCACATTACAGTCATCTGCACCTACCACAAGTGGATTAAAGGCATGTAAGAGTACAGATGAAAGATTTGTATTTGTAGTGTAAAAAAGAATATTCAAAGACATCATCTATCTCTTCTTCTGACTCATAGTTTTCTCCAATTTTTCTCAAAGACTGGTGGTCTGAACAATGAATTCTGTCCTAAGCAACTCTACAGACATGTGCTGTCACGCTTAAGTTTCTGTTATTCTGTATTACCTGTCTGACAAGCAGTTTCATGCTCAACTCATAACTTTTAGATACAGATGTAATTAAAAAATCAGAATCCAAATGGTCAGAAACTTTTTTTTTAAGGGGGGTGTTTTCTTAGAACAGGCAGACTCCCTGTGTGTTACATTCTGTGTTCGTATTATTGCAGGCATGCATGCTGTATGCAAAACTTCCCTCCTTCTCATTTCAATTTTTTGTTGCTGTGAAAATAAGCAGTGCAAGACCGTGCATGCTGCCTGGACAGAGCTGAATATGAAGCCATCTATCCATTCTATAAGCCATGCTACTGTGTGAGGCCCAACACCAGCTATGCAGGTTACAAAATCACATCCGTGCACTACAGGCAGATATTTGTAGCCCACTCTGCCATAAAGTTCTGCTGTCTGTCAACAGCTTTACTCATTTATGCACTAAGCACAGTAAGGGGACAGTATACAGCTGGTGAGAAGAACCTGAAGCTTCATTTTTTCAGCTTCGTTGACACTATTGTGCTGATCTAACCAAAACCTCCTCTAGGAAAGAAGTCTGAAAAGGTTCTGATGATGTCAAAATTAGTGTCATTTTCATCTCCCATTTCTATTTTGCATTTTTATGTAAAATAAAATAAAACACTGATATGAAAAACAATGTTATGATTAATTCAAAATAACTCTCTTC